CCATGATTGTAGTGCTTTTCAGCTAGGCTCTTCCCTTCATCAGGAAGACAGTGTGAAAAATTTTAAAAATACTGCATTCTCTTCTGGCAGTGTGGGTCGTATCCACTGTTTGGGATTTAAAAATGCCTCTTCATGTGTAAGGCAAGGTGGTCCGACCTGGAAAACGCCCGGTCGCATTTCTGGCACTGGAACGGGCGGTGCCCGGTGTGTTTACGGTAGTGCCTGGTCAGTTCATCTGAGCGGGCAAATTTCCACCCACAGCCGTCCCAGTCACAGTGGTAAGGTTTCTCACCTGTAAAGTGAAAAGAAAAGAATGTCACTGAAGTCGTTGCTATAGCTATAACAAAGAATCGGCCTTTTTAGAATCCAGAGGCCAGATATTAAACTAACTCTGCGTGTATCCCATTTTGAAGGAATCCAGAAATGTCTCTATACCCCTGAAGAGTCATATGAAATTTCAGGTCATAAATAGGAATAATACATGACATGTCATGTCTTAAGCGTTTGCTCTTGTTTTCAGAAGGACATTAGCACCACCTAAACCTACACTTCTATAGGACTAATGTCTGTTGAGCCAGTTGTGATGGGTATTATCACCTTCTTCCTGCCCAAATCAGGCAATAATATGCTAATCTCGCTACAGCTGGGTTCAAAGAGCCACAGGTGGCTATTTTTTTTTTCCTTTACCTTTACGAAGGGTACACCTAAATGACTTCAGGTACCTATTTACATCAACAGGGACATTCTCTGCATTGACATCTTAAAACCAGAACCTCCCCAGCAATTATAACAACCATATTTCTTGGGATTTAAACAAAACTAAATTATTAAGAACTAAAAACAACAGAAAGGGAGGGTGAATTTGGGAAGTGAACAAATAAGAAAAATAGTCTGGAAGATCTGAAACTGATTTTTAGAAAACCATCATGCTCTTGCACTGCAAAGTATAATTTCTTGATTACAAGGGCAATGCTTTCTTCAAGCTAGGAGAGGCCCACATGCCGCTGGGAATCTCCTGCCTTTTAAAGGCCTAACAGAACTGCACATTCAAGCCCAGATACCATCCATCAAGCAAAAGGCTCCCGGGCAGAAAAGCAGGCGCCGGTTTGCTGTCCTCTCCTGTGATCCAGGAGATGAAGGAGATAGACTGCACCGGCAACCCAAGGAGGCGCTGAAGAGTGTCCATAGTTAGTCCACGGGTTTGGCCAACAACCCCCCTCCTATCCGCGGCTTCTGTCCCCTTACCTGTGTGGGTTCGCAGGTGTGCCTTGAGATGAGAACTCTTTGTGTAAGTTTTGCCGCAGCCCGCATAATCACAAGTGTGGGTGGCGGTCCTTTTCCGGGGCCACGATCTTCTTCCCCTCTTTGGCTTGGGCTCCTCCGGCATGCAGGAACCCGGTGGCATGAGCTCTAGGGGTGAAGAAGGCGGAGTCGGCATCATCCCGTGCGCCCCGGAGGACCAGCACACTCCCCGCCCGAACTACGAATCCCCGGGGACTAACCTTGGTAATGGAGCGGCGGGACCTGCGGCTGCATCTGGTCGGGTAGGAAAGGTGGATAGTTGGGCCCGGGGTGGGGATGGAAGCCTGGGGGAAGCGGCAGGGCCGGGTGACAGTCCCTGCTGTTCAGCAGTTCTTCGGGACCCAGGGTCGGGGTAGTCCTGCTGGGGAGCTGCCGCCCCAGGGGGAAGTCGTGCGCAGTGGGCCGGTGGCCGTTGCTGAGAGGGGGTCCAGCGCCCAAGTGGGTGCACGAGGAGACCGCCTCCTGCTTGATCTTGGGGCACATGCGCGGCGGCCCGCCGCTGTAGGGCGCCACCACCACCGGGTGGCTGCCGTCAGGGCTGCCTTTGCTAACACTGATGACCGACGGGCTGCCGTACTCGCTGCCGGGGGCGCTCAGCGACGCCTTCAGCACAAACTTGCCCATCAGTCCGCCACCTGGCGGCGGCGGCTGCTGCGGCGGAATGTACACCGGGTCCAACTCGGGCCGCAGGAGCTCGGCCACAAAGCCGCCCGAGGGGCTCACGTCGTTGATGTCCGCCAGGTTGAAGGGCGCTGTCGGAGCGGGCACAGACTCCCGGCCATAGAGGAGGCCTCCGCCCGCGCCCCCCGGCGCTACGCCCGGGTCACCCCCGGCCCGGATCGGATAGCTGAAGCTGCAGGTGGAGGGCGCGCTGGCCGGGCCGCTGCTCGACGGGGAGGACGAGGATGAGACCGACGCCGACGAGGACACGGTGGCGGCCACCGAGTCCTGATGGGACAGTGAGTTGGAGAGGATAAAGTCCAGGTCCAGGAGTTCCTGTAAGTCCTCCGTCTCCCTCCGGGGTAGGAGCGCCGGATTGCTACCACCGCAAGCCGCGCCGGCGGCGCCGCCCTCCAGGTCCGTGGCCACGGTGGCCACCGCCAGGTCGTAGGGGCGGCCAGGAAGCACCGGGGGAAGTCGCTTCATGTGGGAGAGCTCCTCCCGCCAGCGCTGCAGGGACAGGTCGGGAAAGAGACCGTCAGTGGTGGTCCCCGGTTGCCACCGACGTCGTGACGCGGTGGCTGGCCACGCGAGCCTGCACCGCCCAAACACCGGGACTGGGCAGGCAGGAAGCGCCCGGGAACTCCGGGCGCCAGGCTGCCATCTCGGCCCACACCCGGGTCCGAGAGGAGGTGAGGCGTCTGTATGAACAGCGTTAGCCAGCGTCTGCCCAGTTGCGTGTGAGCGAGCGCCGCGGCTCGCCAGCTCCGGGGCCTCCCCCGCCAGATCCCGTAGACGCCCCCGGAATTGGGACACCGAGGCTGTCTCGGTGTGCCCTCGCCACCGGGCCGCCTACGCGGAAAGCTCACTCAGGCCCTGGCAGTGTCTGGGGGCGCAGCCATCTCCCGCCCGGCGGCCCCCGCGCGCCCGCCCTACAGACTACGCGCCCTGGGACCGGTGAGGACCCGGTGTGCGCGCCGCCGGTGGCTTCGGAGTGCCCGGACCACAGGCACGTAGGGGCGAGTCAAGGGCACGGAAGCCATCCCGAGAAGGCAGAGGAGTCCGCGCAGTGGACGCTCCTTATCCCCGCTCAGAGGCTCTAGGTGACTCCAGGGCTCTGCCCACTACCACCCACCCACACAAGTCCACCGGGCGTTCCCGGCGGCCCGAGGTGCCACTCACGTTATTCGGGGCACCTGCTGGACGCAGCGTCTTCTCTCTTCCCGCCGGACCGGACGCGAACGTGGAGAAGGACGGGAGCAGCGCGTCGCTGACAGCCATGTCAGACTCGCCAGGTGGCTGCCTGCGGGCCGGGAGGGACGCGCAGAGGCAGGAGTCAGGGGCGACTTTCGGCCGCGGCTGCAGCGAGTCCCACCGGTCCTCACTCCTCCCTGTTCCCAGCGCCCCGAGCCTTACCTACCTCATTAATGTGGGGGCCCAGAGGGTCCTTGGGAACCCGAAGCAGCGGGGTACCCGGACCCCGAAGTCAACGAAGACGGAAAAAAAACGTGGAAACGAAGCCGAAACCCCAAACCCCAAACTGCCCGAGATCCTTCTTCTTTGGGTTAGATATAAACGGTAGACGTCCTTTAAAAAAGTTCCTTTGTATATACAAAAGTTAATAGAAAAGTTGCAAACTCTTATAAAAATAGACAATCAGCCAGGCGAGAGAGTAGATCCGGTGGCCGGGCTGCGCTCGCTTCGACTCAGCAGCGTCCTC